AGTTAACTATGCGAAGTGATATGGAACTGTAATGCGGTCAAGAGAGCTGCCTGGAACTACGTTCGCCATGCGTTTCCATGAAAATAATTGCACACCTCAGAACGTTCGTCAGCCAATCAGATTCAAGCATTCAACGGTCCCGTAGTATAAGTGTTTATATGTGTTAGTGTTTGTGAGGACTCTGCAGTAGCTTTTCTTGTCAGTGTTCATGGGGTATCAGATGGACAAGGTGGTGAAAAGTAGTGTTGTAGTACTTGAGATCAGTCTTGCTCTTGAGATCAGTTTTTGAACTTATAAGCACTCAAATGTACAACCCCAAATCAGAAATTCAAAACCCAGTGCGGGTTGGGCTCTGCCAGGGCTGCCCTTTGTCATCGGTCCTGTTTATAATATTTATGGACAGGATTTCTAGGCACAGCCAGGGTGTTCAGGGTGCCCAGTTTGTTGGCCTCAGGATTGCGTCACTGATGCCATCCTGTTGGCTTCATCTGCTGGGGACCTCCAGCGTGCTCTGGGGCGGTTTGCAGCCTAGTGCGAAGCGGCAGGGATGAGGATTAGCACCTCCAAGTCTGAGACCATGGTTCTCAACCGGAAATGGGTGGATTGCCCTCTTCAGGTCAGGGAGGAGGTACTGCCTCAAATGGAGAAGTTCAAGTATTTCGGGGTTTCGTTCACGAGTGAGGGTAGGCGAGAACAAGAGCTGGCCAGACGGATTGGAGCTGCAGTTTTGCAGTCACTTAACCGGTTCGTCGTGGCTAAGAAAGAACTGAGCCAGAAAGCAAAGCTCTCGGTCTATTGGTCCATCTTCGTCCCTACCCTCACCTATGGTCATGAGCTATGGGTAATGACCGAAACAATGAGATCGCGGATACAGGTGGCCGAAATGAGGTTTCTCCGCTGCTTCTCCACGTCAAAAGGAGCCAGTTGAGGTGGTTGGGACACCTGGCGCGGATGCCTCCTGGAGAGGTTTTCTGTGCATGTCCTACAGGGAGGAGGTTCCGGGGCAGACCCAGGACATGCTAGAGGGATTATATCTCTCAGTTGGCCTGGGAACGCCTCAGCATCCCCCCCAAACAGTTAGTAGAGGTAACTGAGGAGAGGGAGGTCTGGGTATCTCTCCTGAAGTTGCTATCCCCGCAACCCGAACCCCGGACAAGCAGAAGTTAATGGATGGATAGATGCATATTCTGTTTCTAACTGCAATTAAAATTCAGTTCAAATTCACAAATTGAATTGGAGTTTTAGAGCCATTCTGAATTCAATTCTGAGTGCTGCACAGCCCTAGCAGATAGAGGAGAATGGGCATTTGCCATTTATAGTAAAAAGTCACTATTATATGAATTTTCATTTCTGTTTCTGTGGAAAGTCTGCCATCTAGAGGAAAACTATAGTGGTGCTACATTGGAATAAGCGCCCCCCTATTTTATGTTTACATTTTATGTTTACATCAATATACGCTGGAAAACTAAATCGAAAAAGAAAATAAATTGAAAAAGTAAATAAGTGGAAGGTTCATATGTAATTTGTACTAATAGGATATATATAGGGAGAAGGATGTGACTAGTTTACACTAAATAAAAATTAATTTATGTGCACCTTATTTATTAACATATATTTAAGCATGTAAATAATATTTAGCTAATTTTAGGCATTTTGTTAAGGTTATAAACTAGTTTTATTGTTTGAAGCCCATTGGGACAATCCAAAAGTTCTTTTTCATATTCTGATATTATAACTAGGGGTATTAATTTACATAAACGTTGCATAACACTTTTGTGGACTTTGGATGGGGAAGGAAGAGCATTCTGGGAAATGAATTTTGTTTTTTCATAAGTATATATAGATTTAGATAGGACCATTTTATTGTTTTAATCAGCAGTGTTTATTTATCAATCTAAATCCAAGCCAGTATATTCATTGGCACCGTAGTCATTAGAGCTTCATCTGTCACCGTACACAGAAAGCTATGCGTAGATATTTTACCCTCCAATCCTGGAAGTCTGAGGAAGCAGAACTGCTTATGAGCCACTATACAACTTTTAGGTGATGCATTTGTCCTGTGAATCTACTTTTTATGTACGAACTCCTAAAATAGGAGTGGCCAGTCAAAGGAGCATGGATACCCTGACAGATTCAGGAGGTCCAGCACTTCGTGAAGGCCCGAAAGTCTACCGTCAGGCCACACCCACACCTGTCAAAATATATCAGGGTGACCCTAGTAGGAGCTCCAAGTTGACATATTGTCAGGGGGCTCAGAATTTCTAGCTACACCCTGGGTCTTAATGCTCAAGACCCCCAGGGTATGCTGATCTTTGCACTGCTTACGTTAACTAAAGAAAGAATTTGGTTTTAAAGTAACCTTACAGTTACAGGT